GAAAGGAAATTGGCCATGTTTGTAGGGAATATCTTCGAAGTTTATGATTTTATTTTTTGAGAGAGAAGAGAGGGAGAGAGAGTCTCAAGCAGGCTCTGCACCGTCAGGGCACGTCCCAACACAGGGCTCGAACCCATAAACCGTGAGATCACGCATGACCTGAGCCGAAGTCAAGAGCTGGTTGCTTAACCGACTTAGCCATCCGGGCGCCTTGAACAGTAACCTCCTGACAGGGTTGTTTTTCCTGGGAATAACTTACGGAATACTTGACTATTCCGTCCTATATGTGACACATGCGGGAAAGTTGGCTGAGTATCAGCATATTAGGACAAAGCTTCTTTGCTACCGTAATAAAAAAGATACCACAGGGGCACCTGGGTGGCTCAGTTGGTTAAAGCATCCTTCCAGCCAGGTGAGCCCTGCGTGGCACAGCTCAGAACTGAGCCTGTTTCGGATTCTGTGTCTCCCTCTCTCTCTGCCCCTCCCCTGTTCATGCTCTGTCTCTGTCTCAAAAATAAACATTACAAAAATAAAATAAAAAAAAAAAGATACCGCAGATCTGTTTATGAAGTCAAAGCCAATTAAAGTATGCAAAGGTGAGGTTCTTGTGAAGAAAAGTGGCACAATAGGAGTTGATGTGCAAACAAAAGAAGGGTGCTGTGTAGCCCGTTCATTTTTCTAAAGCAGACGCAGTATTTGGTTGGGATGTGGTTTGGGTCAGGGAAACGTGCACGGTGCTGGTGACTACCGCCCTCGAGTGGGAGAGGCTTTGGAACTGAATTTTAAATAAATCAATTCGGTGGAGTGAAAGAGTTTACGGATTTCTTTCGTGTCGACAATCGAGGCATGAGATTCGCACAGAGAGCTGGCGTGCTGGTGACGTTTACTGTCCTTCTGAGGCTTGTGTAAAGTAAACGCCTGTGATGCACACGTACTTGGTCCAGCTCCACAGTCCCGCCTGCAAGCGAGAGGCAGGCTTTGTGCGTCTGCTAGGATTTTGGTTTACCTGTCACGGCACTTATCCTGCCAGCAAATTCTTTCTGTCTGTCGGTCTGTCTGTACAACACACCCCCTCTCCCTGTGTGTGTAGGTGTGAGCTGTGTCCTGTGGTGCACGCACATGGGCTCTTTGCTGCCGTTGAACTACAGGGAAAAACAATATGGGCCATTGGGGGGGTCCCCTCTCATTGTTTCTGTGCATTGAGTTAGAGCACGTAGACACTGGCCATCTCCTGGAAGTTTACTCCTTAGAACTTTATCTCTTATGCAAGTCACTGCACCTGTTTTCATGAGACGTCTTCGGTTCCTGAAATCGAAGTGCTTTGCAGTTCCTTGCAAAAGAAAGAGAAGTGTCACAGAGCGGGGCTGCTTAGGAAACCTCAGACCGATCCCATGAAAGAGTGGTTTTGAAGGTCAAGGGGCAGCCTCTGCACACAGACGTCTACCCTAGCCGCTGCTTCTCATTTTCCAGTTGACTTGCCCTTACCCCCTGAGCAGGAATGTCCAGTGTTGTTTTTGGAATAAAATTGATGCTTTAGTTTCTGAATCTGCCATGAGAAGTCGTCTGTTTCTCCCTCTAATCCTAGACTGCCACCTTCCTATTCTTGATCCTCCCAGCTTCCTGCCAAAGATTTTTTTGCCCTATTTTCTTCCTGCTTTTGACTAGCTTAACTTCGTCCCGTGTGTCATTGAAACAGCATGCCCCACAGTCCTGCTGAAGTGAAGCAAGAATTCTCAAAGACAGATGTGATCTCAGGTGAAGTCAGACCTATGTCTAGTTTGATGTGTCCAAGGTTCACTTAACCGAGTCGTGTAAACGCTGGGGGCTGTTTCTGACAGGTCTGCTGTTGCTTTGCGTAATACCTGGTTTTGCTGTCTGGTCGCCAGAAAACAATGCCAGTAAAATGCCCGATGATGGTATGGAACCGAGATGAATCATTCTGTAAGATCTGGAAGATTCTGTAATATCACGTCCGTTTGCGAATGTCTTGTTAAGCCCACAGTTACCCCCCAGTTCAGGAGTTTTAAGATGATGGGATTTAATCATAGGTGTTTTCAGGTGAGATTGAGAAAAATCGTGCTGCACTCGCAGGCCTCGTGCATTTACACGAGAATTTGAAGGAAGTAATGACGTTTGGCCTAGTTGGTTATACCTGATTATGCTTCAGTCGTAAAAACCGCAAGGATGTGTAGGAATGTTTTCAGGGCAAGCAGAACGTTCAGGGTGTTTAAATGCTTTGTTGTGTATCGCAGGGTTTCTCTAGGAGTAGACGGGGCAACTGGCCAGGAGGTAGCACATTTTCTCTGGAATCCATCCCGTGAGAAAATGGAGACAACTGTTTTCCTCCAATACTCTACGAGGTGATTGAGATCCGTCACGATGACTGAGAACATTATATGGGGCAGAAGTGCTTTTAAGTCATTAAAGAAAGATTAAAATATGTTCAGTATAACTTAGCATCTTTATTTACACCATTTCGCACCCGGGCCCTGCCTTGATCCCGGTGCTTCTGACCCAATACCCTTCCTCACAGCCTGTGACCTCCTCCCCTCCTCCCCACTTGACTCTCGAGGGCCACACCCGAGACCTCGTCAGCTCCTGGAACAGCGTGTGCTGGGGTCAAGTCACAATTCACTCGTCTCGCTGTGACCACGGCCGTTCGGCCCTCTCTCCCTCGGAAGGACCAGCGCTCGGACTTTTTCAGGGCCTCTGGGCCGTAGATCCCTTGGATCTTCCCCTCCCTCTCCTGAGCGCCCAGCCCACAGTGTCCGTCACCCCAGCAGTACCCTCAAGTCCATCTGGCCACCTGCTTGGAAAGCCAGCAGCCCCACAGCGTGCCCGCTGCCCCTTCCCGCACACGTCTGGGCTGTGGCGGGCGGGAGCCCGAGGAAGTCTCACGGCTGGTCCACCTGCTGCCTCCAGAAGCTCATGACCTTCACTCTCGCTGGGCTTTTCTATTTAATTTCTCAAGTTCTTTATCTGGGTCCAAAGTTTGCCCCCACACCCGCCCTGCAGATCTTGTGGACGGTGCCCTTCTCACCAGCCGGTGCACCCTGTTCAGGCTTTTCGTGGCTCCTCAGTGCCCTACGAATAAAATCCAAACCCCGTAATCGGACCTCGAAGGCTGTCCGCGACCTGGTTCCTGCGAGCTCCCCAGACTCTTCCGTTACCCCCTCCCCATCACGCGGTGTTTGCTGGCCCGCTTTGAACCGTGTGCCATTTCTGGTGGTGAGCACGAGCCTTCTCACGGCCGTGAACTTGCTGTCCCTTCGTCTGGAGCGGTCTCCCCAGCTCCTGGTTCCCCATCTC